TTTTTTTTTTTGAGACAGGGTCTCACTATGTAGTTGAGACTGACCTGGAACTCACTATGTAGCCCAGGCAGGTCTTGAACTCACAGTGATCCTCCTGCCTCAGCCCCCCTGAGAGCTGGGATTACAGGCATGCACCACCCCGCCCGGCCACCCTGCTTTTGCTTTTACTCTCAGCAGCTAAGTCTAAAATCCTAAGAACCAGGCCCTGCTCTGTGAGCAAGGAAAGGAGTCCCCCTACCTACACAGGCCAGAAAGAGAAGGCTGGATGTCTGCTGTTGTCACTGACAGCACTTGGACTTGATGTTTCCTGACACAGTCTCTATACAACTGCAACACCATCAGCCACAGCACACTGACCTTGCTCTGGCCTAGGCCTTTATCCCAAGCTGCACTTTCTCCTCCGAAGCCCAGCTTTCTGATAATCTTGGAGCAGAGCTCCTTAGAAAGTGCACAGCAGTTCCCTAAGTTCTGAGGACCTGGGCCTGTCCCTTCCCTACAGAGGAGATGCTCCTCAGAAAAGGAGCAGGAAGAGGCTGATCTCACACCTTGGAATGCTATTCCGCCCCGGAACCTTAGAGAGGACCAACAAGGCAGGTGCAGCGTGATCCCCCACCCTGGATTTGCGGGGTGGGGGGGATCTTGGCCCTGGACTCCAAAGTCTGGCCCTGCTTGAGCCCAAGTTTAGAGATGCTTATTATCTTGTAAAAGGAGCATGGGCTTTTGCTGAGGGTTCCGGTTGCAGCTGTACTACATATCAAACAGGCTCTATATCCTCATTAAATCCTGCTTAGTGGTAGCCCAGGGAGCCCCGGAGCTGCTGATCCTAGAACCAAGGACTCCTAGTGCTCCTAGATAAGGAGATGAAGCAGAGGCAGGAGCTGGATCTTACTGATTCTTCAGCAGGCTCACTCCTTGATGTAGTGGGTGAGGGATGGGAAGAAGTCAAATTTAGTTTTGATCTTAGAGAATATACTCTATTTTCACCGGCACAGAGACAGGAGCGGCAGGTGAGGAAACACACAGACCACCCGGAATCACTCATGGAGCTGCTGGAGCCTCATGGCACAGGTGGGAACGTGTGAAGATTAATTCAAGTGCTTTGAGAAAGACTTGCAGGTTTCCTACAGGCCCGCTGCACATGTTATAGGAGCCTCGGAGACCACCAGTAACAGCCTGTAGGGCTTCTTCTGCTTGTGCTGTTTCCAGCAGGCAGATCTCAGATCAGAGGCAGAAGCTGGAGGAATTGGTTGCCTCTGGGCAACAGTCTGGCTTTCTTGGCCTGGGAAGGCAATGAGCGTGTGAGATAAAGAGAGGATGGTGTGCTGGCACTGGGATTCCTGTATGCTGTGGGTGAGTGAGGTATACTGAACCCAGTGCCCTATCAGGATGAGGAAATGATTTTTCTCACTTTAGGTTTGGGTTATTAAGATGCACATGCAGCTGAGAGGGACAGTACCGACAGCATCAGGTATCTTCAGCTCTGCTAAACTGCACATCCTCTCATGAAATCAAGTTCTGTTAAGACAGGGGCTCAAAATCTCAGAGAAACTATTAAAAATGCACCTACCTGGCCCCAGTGCTAGACTCTGAATTAGAAGGTTGAAAATGGATCTCGGGCCCTTGTGTCTCTAAAGCGCTTCTCAGAAATTCTAAGTTGTACCCCAGCTGGGAATTCCTGGGATGGAGACTGGAGGAGAGGTAAAGATACCGCTAGGTCCTGCTGGGGCTGGGGAGGTTCCATCACAAGGGGAGAAAACTATTTAACTTTCCAAAAGCTGTCCCCATATAGACACACAGCACTATCCAGTCAAAAGTGCAGCATGGGCTGAGAGCATAGCCAGCAGTAGATTGCCTGGCATGTGTGAGGCCCGGGGCTCTACTCTCAACACCAAACCAAACGAAAAATGCAGGAAGAAGTCAGCCTCTCCAGCAGTTGGGAGTTGGGCAGCAGTGTCGAGCTGTTTTCCCAGTAGGATTGGGCAGTTGCCTGAGCAGAAAAGCAGCTCCCACAGGAGGAGCTGGAACCTGCTGGTGACCTCGGCACTGGAGTTGTAGGTTTCAGGGGAAACCTAGAGAGCACCATGGTCCTCTGATCCCCTCAATATGCAAGTGAGGCAAGTTGGTGTAGATGTCCCTGTGTGTAAGGGGAGGTTTTTGGTAGAGCCTTGACCAAATGGGGTGGAACCTAACATTCTTCCTGTCTGAGCAAAGGACTTGTGGGAGGCTTGCAGTGTGGTGGGTCCTGCCTTGCATGAATTTGGTATCATGAAAGTTTTGCAATACTCAGACAATCACCCAGAAATTCACTTGAAATAATGCAAATATGAGAGATATACACCTGAAGTGAGCACTCTGAATAGTAACATGAAAAAAAAAAAACAAAATGAAAAGGTATAATGAGATGCACACAACTGAAGGGAATTGTCTTAAACGGCTGATTGTAATGAGATGTACATAAATTGTAAAGCTTGTAATGAAATGAAAAAAATCATATTCTTGCCTGATAATACTGGGTGTAATATCTACACCTCAAATAAGTCATCTCAGTGCACTGAGTGTAATGAGATGCACATAATTTTAAAGAGTGTAATGAGATGAAAAATAAATCAAACACTTGTCTTAAAATGAAAGATGTAGTAAGATGCACACACCTGAAGGGCATTGTCCTAAATGGGTTCAATTTAATGAGATGCATTAATTTGCAAAGGGGCTAAATGGGAGTGTCCCAGAGAGAGGCTGAGAAATCTAAAAGTATAAGATACACTTGAAAGTAGTATGATAAAATCAGCTTCATCTGTGGGCTGGAAATAAGATACCAAAGTGGAAATGTGATCAGCGTTCTGTCTCCAAGTCCTGGGTGCTCTATCCTTTGGTCTGTGATGCTCTGCAAAGGTGAATTACAGTGTACCCTTGGCTTACGAACTCGGTTCCTGAGGGCTGATTGTAACTCAAGTTGATGGTAAGTCAATACAGCTGAGCTCTAGATGTTTCCCTGGGTACACACTATACGTAGATAACAAGAGGCAGATGAATCTTCCATTAACTTAATTAACCCAAGTTGTTCATATGTCAGCTGACCGGTCACAACTTGAGGGTCCAACTATACTCTTTGACCCCAGTTTGATGCCAGCATATAGTAGTAGCTTATATGGAAAAGAAATTAGGAAAACTATAAAGCAAAGAACTTCAAAAGGCAGCTGAAAGCTATTTTCTATGAGCAGTGTTCTAGGGGAAAACACTGGCTTGGGGGCCAAATGTACATAGATGAACAACAAACCTGGCGAATTTTATGGCTCAAGTCTCATGAGTGCTTCGAGGGGCCAGCTGGGCAGTTAATGTAGGAGTAAGTGTACCTAGAACGTGAGACCAGGTACACTTTGCAAATACATTCTCTCTAATATTTTGTTTCAAAGGTAGAGTCCTCTTGGACTGTATTGCTCTCCCAACTCAACAGGTTCTTGCTCTATTGTCCAGGCTGGCCCTGAAGTCCCTATCTAATCAGGGTTGATCTCGAACTCAGAGCAGTCTTCCTGCTTCAGCCTCCTGAGTGCTGGGATTGCAGGCATGCGCCACCATATTCGGTGTAGTCTCTCATTCGTGATGGAGTGTTTAGAGAAATACTCTCCTCCTTTAAAATATTCTCCTTAGATGTCAGAGAGAGAAAGGGGAAAAGGGGAGGGGGAAGTGAAGCCACCAACCAGCTAAACACGTGGGGACAGCCCCATCAGAAGTGGTACCTGACCCTCAGCCTCAGTGTCGGGAGACCACGGGGTGGCCAATGTCATAACCTGGAAAGCTTACCTTAGTGGGAAGCAATTATTCAACCACACCCAGCAGTGGCCATGTGGGTTATAGGTTGCAAGTTGCCCGACTGCTCAAGACCAGGAATCTGATTTTTTTAATTTCAACTGTCAAATCTTTCAATTTTTAAATGTTGATATAAAAAAATTGAAAACAACCAATGAAAGAAAACATGCCTGCCAGCAGAATTCAACCTGACTACCACACCTGAGAATCTCTTATTTGTAACTTGGAATGATAGAATTTGCAATCACTGTGCTAGGATGAGATAAGATCATGGGTCCAACCATGACAAGGACATCACAAGTACACTTTTAGGCCTGATCCTCTAAAATGGAAACTCCTCAAAGGTAAGAACTTTGTTGATCACGGTTGTATCCTTGATGTCTATAACAGTGCTTGGGACAGAGTGAGGACTCAATAAATGAGCGACTTATTAGGAGCGAGGTGGCGCAGGCTGCATGACAGCAGCCATTGACGTCATGGGCCCCATGTGAGGCAGAGGAGGCCTCCTGGATCAAGGATGCTCAGTTCTGGCTTCCAATTCTCACAAGTGGGATCTCCAGGCTCCAAGATCTTTCCTGAAGAACTGGGGGTCAGAGGCAGAACTCAGTCTGGGCAGTTTCTAGGACCCTAATATCAGAGTTCCACTTTGAGCTAAAGGACACCTCCCACCCCCTCTGTCACTGTCCCAGCTATTTTACTACCACAGGGATTACACCATGTTGTCTTTTGGGGTTGGGTAGCATTTTGGTCATGCAGAGAAAGAAGTTGCTGCTTCTTCAAAATACAACCATCCATTTCTGAAATGATTTAGAAAACTGCTTTTTAGGGTTAGGGTAACCCACACTTACAGTCCTAGCACTTGGGAGATTGAGGCAGGAGGATCACTGCAAGTTAGAGACAAGCCTGAGCTAGTGATTACAGGTTAGGGTACCACACTTGCAGTCCTAGCACTTGGGAGATTGAGGCAGGAGGATCACTGCAAGTTAGAGACAAGCCTGAGCTAGTGATTACCTAGTGAGTGCAAGGCTAGCCTGAACTACATAGAAAGACCCTGCCTCAAAAACAAAAAACAAATGAACAAACAAAATAAAAACAGCTTTCTCGGTACCAGGGATCAAACTCAGGACCTTGCACTTCACTTGCAAGGCAAGCAGCAGCAGCAGCACTGAGCTAAATCCCCAGCCCAAAAATAGCTTTTTAGTTGGCAGCGTTCTTGAAAAGATGGCAAAAAGATAGAAAATAGAAAAAAAGCAGAAGAGGAGAGGCTGGGACAGGCTGTTCTGCAATTTGTTTCTGTAATTTCCTTCTTTCCTTCCTTCATTTTGTGTGTGGGGTCTGGGATCAAGCCTAGGGCCTCATGCATGCTAGGCAAGCACTCTACCTCTTAAGTTACATCTCTCCAACTTTAGCGTTCCTAAAGTGTGTTTTTCAGAAATTCTTGTATCTCTTCAGTAGATATTATGTACTTGATGGAGGGGGACACGAAATCTGGGGAATATCTGAAACAAAGTTCAACAGGTTTCTTTCCTGTAGGACTTCTCAGAGTCTTTAACACACTGAATTGCATTGTGAAACTCTACTAGCAAAGTATAATATGCACCATACTATAGCACTAGGCTAATTTGGCCACACAACTTCTTTTCCTTGGTAGTACACCTTTGAAATTGTTCCTTGGAAATACCGCTTTAAAATACTAGGTATTTTAAAGATAATGCTTCTAATGCATTATCTTTTTGGGGATCTTGACTTTTTCCATCTGTCCAAAGAAAAGAGTTTGCAGAACTCTCCCTAGGTGATGGTGTGGTGATAGAACTGGTCTCTGTGAGAACTGTGACCTGGGGAGCCTCCCTCAGAGCTGCCTGGACTCATCTAAGTGACCACCCCCTGCCCCATCCTTGGCCTGACTCTAGGAGACCTATGGGTGTGTGCACATTCTGCAGCCTTTGTGGTGTGGGACAAGGAACTCCCCTCCTGCTTCCACAGATGCTCTGGTTATCTCAGCAACAGCTCCCAGGGAAAGGAAAGCTCTAGTCTGAGGTTGACAAGAAGGCTCCTCTCTTTCCCAGGGAGATAAGCTGCCCCAAACAACTTCTTACTCTAGGGAACTCAGTGCTGGAAACCAGGTTTCTAGGGAAGCCTCCTGACCTCCTCACACACACACATACACACACCACAGACATAGCTCTGGGTTAAAGGTGCAGTCAAGACTGCAGCTCCTCTGGGTTGCTGGGACCTTTCACCTGGGGGATGGTGAGGTAGGCATATGAGTGCTGAGGTGTGGTGCTGTGGCAGAACCAGTTGAGATAATGAATCCCTCAGGCCTAGGATGGAGACAGGGAATACAAAAGTCTTGGAGGTAGGTGGTGGAGAATGGTGAAAGCCAAGGACCAAATTCAGCACTCTCTACTGCAGTATGGGGAGAGTGTCAGGAGATGGCAGTATGGAGCTTTCTACTGTCCTTTCTGATCTCTTTGTTTTAGTTAGACACATACAAGGTAAATGTGCCAAATTTGGCCATCTTCCTCCCCAGACAGAGGGGAGAGGAGCTGAGGTTGCCTACAGAGTCCTTTCCTTTGCCCCTTCCTATAGGTAATCAGTGTAATGGAGTAGATGCTGAGGTCTCCAAATTCTGTATGGCCCAGGGTCCCGCTAAAGAAAGAAGGGACCTGTACAGCAGCCCCAGAAACAGAGTTGCGCACCAGGGTTATGGTAGGTAATAAGATTTACTGAAACGTCTTGGCCACATTCAGTACTGGATTGGTGGATACATCAGAAGGAGGTTGCATAACATTAGGCAGGTGGGTGGGGCTGGAGGAAGAGATGTGGGCATGTGTGAGGCAGATGTGCCTGGGTGGGTAGGATGTTGTTGAGGTGCGTGGAAGAGGGTGTGAGTGTGTGTGTGCGTGTGTGTGTGTGTGTGTGTGTGTGTGTGTGTATTTTAGCCAGAAAAATGAACCAGAAGAGGAAATGTATTTTATCCCTCTGCGCGTTGCAAAAGTCTCACGCCAAAAAAGCTAGACTTCCCTCTACCTATGGCATCAAAAGGGAGTAAAAAATGATTGGATCACCCAGATTATAAATAAGGTTATTTGTTTCTCAAAAATCCCTATTAAAACATTAAATATCAGCTCTTTTTGAGGGGGGGGAATACATTCATTTCAGGGAGACCTCAGGAAAGCGACTATCCTTTTGCTCCACCCCAACCAGGTAGGGGAGGGGAAGCCCCAGGAAGCCCTGAGGTCCCCTCCAGTTGAGCCAGGTAGCCACTCACATCATGCCACTGAAGGAGATGGCCAATGCACAATTTACAAATGAAACTGCACGTCCGTCAAATTAAACCCAATGGGAAACACGTGTGATTAGTCCTGTCCTTCACAGCCACAGGGTGGGAGGAAACAGGAGGAGGGAGTGCCCACGATGGGGGCCTGGGACAAAAGTTGGGCTGGGAGAAAGTGTGAGAGCAGGTGGAAAGCCTCCTCCCAGAAGCTCCAGTCCCTCCAGCACTGTGTACAGTGCAGGTGCGCAGAGCAGTGAAGTGGGTGGGGTGGGCACCTCTGCAGGCTTTTGAGTGCCATCCCCTTCTGCCATTTTGGATACTGATGAAAAGAAGGATGCAGCACCTTCTCCAAACCCTGCCTTCCCACTGGCTGCTGCTTCTTTCCCATGTTTCATGCGTCTTCTCTGAAGGAAAAAAAGAAGAGAGGCTGGAGGCTGCTGGTGTCAGCCTGGGAGCAGGGGAATAGCCACGGTGACCCGTGGGGTGAGAAGATTCCAAATCACTCTGGTCTACTCTCCAAAGGTCTGTGGAGGGCCTGGAGCATCTGAAGAGCTTCATCTGAGGGTGGGAATATCTAGGGTAAGACATCATTGTCCTGTTGTTATAGGAGCTGAGTTCTATGACCGCCTAGGGACAGCTGTGGTCCCAAAGTCACCTTGATGTGGCTCCCAGTCCAGATTCTACCACCTCCTTGGCTCCTAGAGCCAACCCAGATGGAGGAACTCCTTTAGCCTCTTACAGATGGAGCCCAACAGCTAATGATGTGTTTTCAGGAGAAAGAGAAGGAAGCTCTGCTGGCTCCCTTCCCCTTCTCCCAAGCCCATGGTCACTGGGCCCACAGGTAGGCCCTGGGACTGAGATGGAACTCTATGGAGTCCAGGGCCCAGTCTGGTCTGCAAGACCTGTTGCCTCAGGTCCTCCCCCTCCTCCAGCTGCTGATTGCGCTTTTGGGGTCCCTCCTGTCCTCGAGTGTCTCTTAGAGGAGCAGAGATCCTTGGGTGGGGGGTTGTGTCACCCTTCCCTTCCAAGTCGTCTCTTGGCAAAACCCACTTTGCAAATAACACCAATCCACCTCACAGTGCTGGGCTTGTACACAATCAAGTCCTTCCGTGGAGGGCTTGCTGGTGCCATCTGTCCTCGGGGATTTGGTAAGTCCAGTTCTCAGTCCTGTCTTTTCATAGAGGCTGCTTGATGGCTCCCCAGTGGCATCCTCTCCAGTTCTAGGGAAGCAGGCTGGGTGCTCGTTGAAGCCTGGTGGCTGGGAAGGAGCAGGGTTTCTCCTCTGCATTACCTCAAGCTACTGATTCGGGGAAGTGAGGGCACAACTTCCTCGGTACTGTCTGCCCATGCCCTCCCCCCACCCTGAACCCTCCTGACGCTGCTCCTCCGCTGCTGGGTGATCAGCACCGTGTGGGCTGTGACTACTCCAGGGAGTCACTATGTTCCAAGCCCAGGTCGCTGACATTCGTCGTCTGCAACTCATCAGCCTCCTCCTCGAGCTCCTCTTCCTCCTCCTCCTCCTCCATCTCCTCCTCATCCTCTTCTTCTGTCCCATCCAGTGAGTCGTCGTGTGCAGCCATCATAGCCTGCTGCATGGCCATGGTGGCATTGTCTGAGGACAGGGACTGCAGGTTGTCCAAGTTGATGGAACCTGCGTGAGAGAGGGCAAGGGTCACAGCCATACAGGGGCTGTCACTAGGTCTGGTGACCTCCATGTTGGACAAGGAGGAATGCACTGAATCATAGGGTGAATGAGGTTGTGCAAGGTTCTACAGGAGGGGTAGCACACGATAGGCTACTGTAGAAATAAGCAGACTTTGGGCTAGAGCAGCCCAGGAGAAATCCCAACTAGGTAGTCACTGTGTTACCTTGAGCTAATGACGTCACTGTCCCAGACTCAGTTCCCCCTGGGAAGTTTCCCACCCCTCACTCCTCAGCCACTTCCTGCCCCACGCCGAGCAGCACTCCTGGCCATCATTTACTCAGCATCTTCAGTGAAAATGCAAGGGCGACTGAAAGCAAGATACAGTGTTTAAATGAAGATAAGGTTGTTACAGTAAGAGACACGTTGCCAAGAACAATGAGGTAAGTGTGTTTGAAACCAGGGAATATTTTCAGAGGGATTAATGCATTGTGTCTTTTACTGTAGTAAATTTTAAAATTTTGACATTAAATGTATTTTTGATCACCTCTCATTGATCTAACATTTATGGCAATTTCTCTCAAATAAAAACATTGCAGTGTGTCCTCATCGACCTTATTCTTCAGGTTTGGCACTATGAGACTCTGGCTCTTCCCCAAAGTCAAAATAACCACAAAAGATAAACATTTTGAATTGGTTCAGGACACTGAGGTAGCCATAACAATGCCACCAAAGGCATGAAAGAGGACTTCCTGGACTACATCAGAAGGAGTGATGGGATAAGTACGTCCAAAGGGAGAGGAAGTGCTTTTAATGGGGATTAAGTTTTTTGTTGGGGATTAATGACAATGTGTCTTTCACTCTAATACATTTTTAAAACTTAAAATTCACCACATTTTTAGATCATACCTCAGATATGAGGGACTTTTGAGTTTCTAATAATTCTGTAAGGCGGGTGTCACTCAACAAAGGACACTGAGTCTCGGACAGTGACGTCATTAGCTCAAGGTAACACAGTGACTACCTAGTTGGGATTCTCTCCTGGGCTGCTCTAGCCCCAAGTCTGCTTTATTTCTAGCCTATAGGGTGCTGCCCCTCCCCTAGAACCTTACACAACCACATTCACACATGAATGCATGGACACGTATGCACACACTCACCTCCACCCTGCTGCTCATGCTAGCTTCACACACCCAGCTCTACAACGTCTGTCTGACTGAATTATTCATTGTGTACTAGCAACTGGCAATTAGAAGAGTGTGTGTGGAGGCTGTGACAGAGAAGCTGGGAAAACGAAGCCCTTCCTGGCCTCTGTTTGCAAGCCAGCTGCCTGCTTGGTATTTATAGATGGCCTCGGCCTTGGGGAGCTGTGCAGACACTGACTCTGCCGAGCGGGGGTGGGGTGGGTGTGTGTAGGAGTGAAGAGGGGCTCTGCTGAGCAGTCACTGACTCAGACGACCACCAGCTCCCACTCATCTTGCAGACTGCTTTGGCTCACGAAAAGGTGTACAAAAGCCATCATTCTCTTCTTTAAGGCTCTAATGGAAACCAGGGAGGGATCATTGTACAGGACAGCTACAGGGTTCTGAGTAAGGAGATGAACCTTGAATCTGCTTTCCAGGAGCACCCCCCTCAGGTGTCCCCAGCCCCAGTCCCTACCGTCGGGGTTTGTCCCTGGGGTGCCGCCCTGCTGCTGTAGCACCCCTGCAGCGATGGAGTTGGGCCAGAATCTTTGGGTGGGCCGGTGCTGAGACTTGATCTTCTTGGCTTTGGGGGCAGGGTCTGGGTTGCTGGCATCGAGCATGGGCTGTAGGATGCGCCTCCGGGCGTTGATGAACCTGTTCAGGGGTAAAAGTGGTGATCTGGTTAGTTACCACTTGGGGGATGTTGGGGCGGGGTTGGCAGCAAGGGGGGCTAGGCTGCTCCCAGACTTCACTGGACAGAGTGGATGGCATTTGGATTTAGGAGGTGAAACCAGAGACAAAAGCCTGGTTACTGAGGAGTTCATGAAATTCCCTGGGGCTTGGTCACCACCAAGAAGAACACGTGCAGAGATGGGAAACCCAATTAAAATCTGTCAAGATGGAACAGAGGAGGGAAACGCCAAAGTCACAGGCACCAACTTCTGACTTCTTTCCAGAGGGCCGAGGGCTTTAGATGGGGGACCCTGTTTCTAGAGTCCACTCCCATCAAACAGAAGGGGAAAGCTCAGGTCCTTGTGGGGCCTGAGATCCCTGAGAATGGAGGCTCTTTCCTTCCAGCAGAATGCTTTTGTTTCAGTTCACACAAAAGTGGGGCAGACCAGTTGACCACTGGTTTTGCCTCCAGGCATGGGCCCAGGAATTTCAGTCTTTCTGCGGAACAGGTAGGGCTGGACCCTCAGGGCCGGCTGGGTTGTTAGGCAGAAGCTTAGAGGGATGTATATGACACAGCTGACCAGCAGAGGGTGTGGAGAAGCTGTAGATGAATCCATAGGCGGGAGAGCTGCCCTGGCAGCTAGTGGGCCTGAGCCAGAAGCAAGTCTGGGCATTCTGTCTCTTCCCCTGCTACATGTTCCTTTGCCAAGCATGTGGCCCTTGGATCTGAGAGCCTTTGGGCAGGTGATGCTAACTCACCAGTTGTTTACTTGCAGGAGTGTGAGGTTTGTCTGGGCTGCGATCTGTCTCTTCTCGTCCTCCGTGGGGTAGGGGTGCTAAAATGAGAGGTGAAGAGCTAATGAGGAGTGGGTATGGGGCAGCTGGCTCCCTCATGAATGTTTCCCTGTCAGGGGAACCACCTCGGCTCTGGCAGCCCTACACATTTGGGGACTCAGTTCCCCAAAAGACAATGGGCCTTGGGCTTAGATAGAGGCTGCCTGATACCTGCAGTTTCATATTTAGGGCTACCCTACCCTCAGCTCCCCAGGGAGACCCAAAGTCAGTCCCATAAGCACCCCTGTCCTTTTCACTTGACCCAACAGGTGGGCAGGCATCCTTAGCACAAGGATTTACAATGGGATCCAGGGCCCACAGGAGGTGGTCGATGGAGTGAATGAATCAATTCAATTTAAATTAGCTGATATTTACTATGTATCCAGATTTATGCTAGTCATTCTTAGGAGACAGAAGATAAATATCATGATAACATTATTGCTATAGAACTTTATAACCCAAGAACTATCTCATACACTTAATTTCATTTAATCAAGCCTTTCCTTTGTCAGATAGGCAGGTTAAGTTTTTGTTTTGTTTTGTTTTTTTTTTTTTTTGTGA